CAAGTTGATTGGTTTACTCCAGTATATTTTATAGACTCCACTACAAGTTGATTGGTTTACTCCAGTATATTTTATAGACTCCACTACAAGTTGCTTGGTTTACTCCAGTATATTTTATAGACTCCACATTTTAACTTAATATATATATACAAAAATGTTATTTGATAAAATGATATATATAATTCTTAGTATTGCTACTTTGTTTCTTGAAAAGTAACTCAGAAAACTAACTTTACCCGCCACATGGTTTGTAAATCAGACACTTTCTGTCGAAGTTCCTTCATAGACAGGTTGGCCTCAGCTTCTCTAAGCTTAACAGCTATCAGTTCTTCCTGGAGTTGGGCTAGTGTTTTGTCAGGAGTTGTTTCTCGTAACTGTTTGTTAACCTAAATCGTAGAAGAACACCAGATTTTATTATTTTTCATACAGTTTTGTACTTAATACACTACAACAGTATACCTCATGCCAAAATTCCTGAAAATTTACGAGTTTTTGTTTCGGTTAAAAAATACAACTTCTAAACTTGATTTAAAATGAAGTGTATAAACCAGTTGTATGAAAGAACCACGGAGAAAAACAGAGACTGAAGAACCTCCCTCCCTCCAAAAACAGAGCAGATGGTGGTCCCGGTTGTTATATTCAACATTAACATTTGTTTCTTTATTTAATAACCTTCTTTCACTTGAAAATACATAAGCCTGTACGCTAATATTTCAATAAAACACAAACACAGTCCCACCTCCTCAAGCTCCTGGATTTGGCCTCTTAAGTCCTGCATAATTTCATCTTTCTCTGCTTCCCGAAGCTTCACGGCCACTAGTTCTTCTTGTAAAGACTGCAGCAATTCATCAACAGAATTGTCAAAAGATGGAGGTTGTGACCCAGCCTGTTTTCAATCAATAGCAGAAGTACGAAGTTTTACATGAAAAACATCTCCAACAAAACACGTGACTGATTTATTCTCAAGAGTTTTAGTAATAACGAAATTGAAAAAATTCATCACAACATTATTTATTTATCAGTTGAATAAACAAACATCCATGAAAAATACACATGTAAATAAAATACATCCAAGAATACCATTCAAAAAATACTTTCTCTTTAAATCAAGTGTATTAGTAGAGTTAAATTAGAATTCAAAGTTTTACAAAAGTATAAAACGGAAACATAAACACCTCACTGAGAGTTCGGATTTGTTGGTAAGCCAGATCCAGTTCTTGTTTGATCGTTTCTTCTTTATACCTCAAATCTTCCAATTCTCTTCTGATGGTAAAATTATCTTCTGCCTCCTGTGCTCGAGTAACCTGGCCCTGAATGAGGCGATCAGCTAGGGCCGAGCTCTCCTGAATAGAAAGTTGTTATTGAAATGCCATTCTGTCAAAAACTTAAACAGTAAACACATATCTTTAATTTATTGTTAATAATTAGGGTACTTTATACTTTTATCAAAACCAAAGTTTGCACTTGCACGGGCATCAGTGAATACTTCATCATTATCACTGACATTAACCGATACCACTGACGTCAATCAATATTTTAGGATTAGCATCAATATCATTGACATCACTTAGTACCACTGCCATCAATCAATAAGACTGACATTAACTGATACCACTAACATTTATCAATATTTTAGGGTTAGCATCAATATCATTGACATCACTTAATACCACTGCCATCAATCAATAAGACTGACATAAATGAATACCACTGACATTAATCAATATTTTAGGGTTAGCATCAATATCATTGACATCACTTAGTACCACTGCCATTAATCAATAAAACTGACATTAACTGATATCACTAACATTAATCAATATTTTAGGGTTAGCATCAATATCATTGACATCACTTAGTACCACTGCCATTAATCAATAAAACTGATTAACTGATATCACTAACATTAATCAATATTTTAGGGTTAGCATCAATATCATTGACATCACTTAGTACCACTGCCATCAATCAATACAACTGACATCAATCAATATTTTAGGGTTAGCATCAATATCATTGACATCACTTAATACCACTGCCATCAATCAATAAGACTGACATAAATGAATACCACTGACATTAATCAATATCATCAAAACCTTATGTTTATTGACTATGTATTTCAAATAAGCTCTAAAAAAATCAAGGATTTTTGAGAGACTAGTAGTTTATGTGGTTAAGGTACCAGAAAGCAGAAATGCGTGTTATTAATACTGGAACAAATTAAAACTTACGAACCAGGCACACAAAATCGAGTTCTTTCAGCTGTTATGAGGACTGTATAACAAGGTTATTAACTGTTTTCAGTAATGTAGTGTGTTCTCCTGTTCAAGGAAATCTTGTAAACTTAACATTACTAGGAACTTCTGCAATCAAGATTCGTTATTTACATCAAGAGTTTTTAATCCTCCACGGTCCAAAATAAGGGGTTTGTTTGTTTCAGATACTTACACATAGGGGTTACCTGCACTGGCCGTCCTTAATTTTCAACTGGTAGACTAGAGGAAAGATAGCTAGTCAACAGCAACCACTATCAACTTTTGGGCTATTTTAATCTAATAGTGGGGTTTAATTGTTAAAAATTCATACTGAGCATGAACTTGTAGCAATGGGACATAAACCCTTGGAATCACAACCCAGGCACATGACACGTTAGACCCTCGGAAACTAACATGTTGGTATAACTAAGAATGTATCTACCACTATGTGTGGTAACATGTAAAGAAACCAATATTAGCACTGCCAGAAACGTGGTTGCTCGGGAACCTTGCACTGTTAAAAATAGTTTGTAAAATTAAAGTATATTCGCTATTTTAACCTCTTGCAATTTCAACCACATACATAACCATCATACTTGTTTTTTTTAATTTGGAGGGGGTGATGGTTGCCCGCACACTGGGGTGGTATGGGAGCAGCCTTCATTAGACAGCTTTATCAGCCAGCTAGCCCTCATATGAGATACAGTTATTTATTAAAGATTTTTAAATTCTCTATATTGTGACTCCCACTGACAGTACATTTTTCTGCCCCTCCCCCCCAACTAACTATATTCTGTTGTGCCCTAAATAAAAAATAAATCCTACAAATGCCTCTGGGGGATGGTTCTCCCTAAATCCCCTATTTACTAGCATTAGAATGTGTGGTTTTATTTCCCTATGTTACAGTTACCATAGTAACTCTATTCCAACTCACCTGTTCTAGATTTTCTATTCTCTGCCTCAGTAGTCTGTTCTCTGTCCTTAATCTCTATAACAAAACAAGAATGTGAGAGTTACAGAGTAAGAAGTAGATATTTCACTAATAAGGGACATCTTTTGTCTACGTTTACAATTTTTATTTTAATATATCCATCCTATATTTCAAACACCCTCCAGTAAATAATATCCAACGTTAAACTGGTACACAATTAAAAACATTTTATTTAGGCCTATCTATGGCGTTCAAAAAGTTGACGACTCTACATGTTACAACGTCACTATAATCCTCCAGTAATTTAATGCTATAAAAAAAAAAGACATGTTTTTATTTAAATTCCATTTTGTATCTACCTATGTAGCTAAATGAAATAGTTTCTTCATCCATAAAAATACATTATCCAATAAATACAGTAGAAAACAAAACCCACTTTGGTTTGTATGCATTATACCAGAAAAATCAGTAGTAAACAAAAGTTGTGAGTCTTTGTTTTATGATGCTTTACCCTTTCAGTAAAATGTAAGCTATTTTAACCCTTTCTGTACTGGCCAGATGTCCCTTGATTTGTTCCTTTTCACAGTGTAAATACGGGTTAAAATAGCTTACATTTTACTGAAAGGTTAAAGCATCATAAAACAAAGACTCACAACTTTTGTTTACTACTGATTTTTCTGGTATAATGTACTACGTTTCATGAAATTTGATGAATTTCTGTACCGGCCAGGTGTCCCTTGATTTGTTCCTTTTCACAGTGTAAATACTTCATCAAATTTCATGAAATGTAGTACAAACTTTCTAAATAGTACTTAGTTTCAGCTTTAAAAAACTAAAATAACTTGATTTGGTTTTTCAATAATATTTTTTTACATTGTGATATTTCCAAAATTTTTTGTGAAATACTGTTTTGAAAACAAACATTAAAAACACTTCCTGTGATATCTAACTCGTATCCAATCAGTTTCAAATAGATAGTTATTTAAATATTTCTTTTTATACTTTATTTAGCTAATAGCAGTAGTCACAATTTCTAGCTATAAGTTGCTAAAAATAAACATGGTGAAAATTGACAAAGATTTATCAGTGACTGTGGGTACGATCTTTCGAAATGGTATCAATCATTATCTTTGTTAGACTAGGTAACAATATCTTTCCTGACAATATTCTTAAGATCAAGCTATTACATTTATGTGTTTTTTTTTCAATACTATAAACTTAACAATAATGTTCAATAAATAAGGGTTTGAGTCATCAGAATATCTTGCCATTGGCTGTCATATTCGCTAAACCTAACTAAGTTTACCCGATGTCTTGTCATAGAAGTAAATAATATACCTTTCAAACAGATATAATTCAACCTAAAACATTTTCAGGAATCTAAACAAACTAAAATTAGAAAAACTTCTCAGATCGATGGTTTGTTCCTCAGTCTCCTAACTTCCCATTAGATTCCATTGTTCATCCTGTTTCATGTCATCACAAACCCATACCGTTACTGCTTACACAATTTTATTCACTCTACATAGATATAAATAGCTCATAATCTGTTCTATCAAATGGTATGTAGACATTGACTGCAGTTATTTTAAAAGGTGTACTTCATTAATAAGTATTAAGAGCACGGGTCTTAC